TAATGAGTCTGTCCTGGGGAAAAAACATAGGTCAGAAATGGTCTTGTTCAGTGGGATAGCAAAATCAAGAAAAAAGAGGCTCCCGATTGCAGAGCTTTAACAAAAAATAGCCTCCCTAAATGCTCAGGTTGTATCCGATGAGAAAAACTGGACTTAAATTTCGAATTAGACAAGGAAGAGATTTATTGGGAACAAAGGGCCCGTGCCAACTGGTTAAAGAATGGGGACATGAACACAAGGTTTTTTCATGATATTGCTAGTCAAAGATGGCACGCCAATCGGATTGATAAGTTACTTATTGATGAAGGTAGTTGCCATAATAAAAAATATGAGATATTCTCTATTACAGTGGGCTATTTTTTAAATATCTTTACTTCTACACGTTTAAATTTTTTCCCATGATATCATGTCTGAAATTGATTAAAAAAATCAATTTCTCCATTAATGATTTCTTGATGTGAGATTACAACAAAGAGGAGATTTGGAATGCTCTTCAATCTATGAGCCTTATTAAAGCTACGGGAGAATATGGTTTTGGAGCTATGTTTTATCAACGATTCTAGAACTTAATTAGAGATGAGGTCTTAAGCTACTACCTCGTAATTCTGAAAGGGGATGTCCCAATAAGTACGATAAATCAAACAAATATCATCCTTATTTCAAAGGTATCTGATCCAAAAAAGATGTCTCAGTTTCAACCCATAAGTCATTGTAATGTTCTTTATAAAATTGTTTCAAAGACATTAGCTAACAGGTTCCAAATGGTGTTATATCAATGCATCGATGAAGCTCAGAGCGTTTTTGTCTCGGGGGAGATTTATCACGGATAATGTTATTGCGGCTTATGAGATCCTTCATTCTTTCAAGAATAAAAAGGTCGGGAGGAATGGTTCAATTGCGCTAAAGTTAGATATTAGCAAGGCTTACGACCTAGTTGAGTGACATTTTGTTGAAAGCATTATGCGAAAGATGGGATTCTCGGAGGGCTGGATTTCGATTATTATGGCGTCTATCTCTATTGTTTCCTACACGGTCACCATCAATGAGAACCTTAGTAATGCATTCAACCCATATCATGGACTTCACCAAGGGGCCCATTGAGCCCTTAATTGTTTCTTTTGTATAGCGAAGGCTTAACCGTTACTTTGCTAAGGGCCTCCCGTGTTGGAAGTTGGAACCTTAAAAGGAACAGGTACTACCAGGGGTGCACCACTGATTACGCATCTTTTATTTGCGGATGATAGTTTAATTTTTGGAGATGCATCAGTAAGTGAAGCTCATAACTTGAAGAACATGCTAAATGTGTATGCAGATTGTTCTGGTCAAATTATTAACTTTGAGAAATCCAAGATTTTCTTTAGTTCAAATATTCCAGATTCTATCCAAGAAGATGTTTGTCATGTTTTGAATGTGGTAAGTACTACCAATTCGAAAACATGTCTTGGGCTTTCGTCAATCGTGGGTCGAAATAAGAAGCGTGCTTTCTTGAATCTTAAAGAAAAATTCCTTGCTAAAGTTCATTAATGTTAGAGAGTGAGGTTTCTCTCTTCAGGCGGTTATATCATGTTTCCTTCTTCCGCTGAGTTTTTGCAAGGAGTTGGAGGCTATTGTTGCTCGATTTGGTGGCAAAAGTCAGCCAATAAAAGAGGTATTCATTTGTGCTCTTGGACTGAGTTGTGTTGTTTAAAGAATGAAGGAGGTATGGCCTTCAAAGATTTAGAAAAAGTCAACATCACTCTTTTGGCTAAACAAGGGTGGCGACCGTCCTCACTAGTCTCGAGACTGCTTCGGGCAAAATATTTCCCCAATTCAAACTTTATGCAAGCCCCTCTCGGTCATAATCCACACTCATTTAGATGAGTATTTGGAGTTCAAGGAAGCTACTTGAATTGGGAATAAGATGGAGGATTGGTTCGGGCACATCAGTTTCCATTTGGAATGATTATTGGCTGTCAGGTCTCCCCCTTCGAAAAATGGAAAATTCAAGGTCTTGGGTTGACGGAGTCTTAGAGTTGATTAACAATGAAGAGAAGCGTTGGAACGTTGAGCTGTTTCGGTCTATTTTTAATGAGGAAAAGGTGAACTGTATCTTAAACATTCGTCTTGCAGTATCTCATCAGGAAGATATATGTAGTTGGAGAGGCGAAGAGACAATTATATTACGTTCGCAATGGTTATAAACTGCTTATCAAAGAAGAAAACTGGGAGATTCCAGTCAACAGTGTTTATAAGTTCATTTGGAACGTCTGCTGTCCATAAAAAATGAAGATTCTTCATTGGAAATTCGTCAATAATTTCGTCCCGAAAAAGCATAACCTGGCGATTAAACGAATTATCTCAACTTTTTGTCTTCGTTGTAATTTTATTACTGAAGATAACATTCATGTGTGCAGGGACTGTCCTTTTGTAAAATCCATTTGGGAGGGGTTGAGCATCAAGTGGTCAATTGAAGCAAACAGTTTCAATTTCAATGATTGGCTACTTTTTCTATTTCAATCACACAGCAATGACAAACACAAATTGATCACTATAACTATATGGTATCTTTGGTTTTACAGGAACAAGTTAATTCATGAGTAGCAATCCCAAAGTGTGGAAAGATAATTACCACCAGCCACAGCTACTTAGCGGAGATCACAAGCCTTTATACTACATTAAAGCACCCACATTCACATGCACTCACTGGCTGGAATCCTCCGCCCCAAACTATCGTGAAAATAAATATTGATGCAAGCTTCTCCTACACAGAAAACAAGTTTTGCACAGGATTTATTGTTCGTGATGACAGAGGACACATTCTAGGATAAGGGTACAAAATCAATTTCCACATCACCTCAGTTTTCATGGCAGAGGCTATAGTTGTTCTCCAAGGAATGAGCTTTGCAATGGACATAGGGATCAGAAAAGTGATACTTGAGAGTGATTCTAAAAGCATTATCTCAAGGATTACAAACACAATGACGGATCTTTCATCGTTAGGAACATTAATCAGTGACGCGAAGAAGATGGCAACCCATTTCGAGCTATGTTCTTTCAATTTCTTCGGGAGAAATGGAACCCTAGAGGCATGCAATGGCTTCAGAGGGTTTCAAGAGCTCATCAGACCGTTATTGGTTGGAAGAAGCACCGGCAAAAGCACTTCATGCGGCTAACTCCGATCGACGGTTTGTTGACCCACCATGAGGACCCAAATTTTACTACATCTTTTGTAGGGATTTTGCTTTTCGCGGATTGTTAGCGCCCCTTGTTCCTTTCTTCAATCGTGATCTTCATCAAGATTGTTTCTTCTAACCGGCTGAAGAGTTTGGTCGTTTTGGATTTAATCTATTTTTTCTTCTTTCTTTCTTTTTTCTCAGACATTAAAAGCTTCCCATTGTTCTTTAGTTTCAGTGTTTTGCTTTTTCTCCTCTGAGATTACTTTGTATATACACATTTATTGCTTCAATAAGATAATCCAATCGACCCTTTGAAAAAAAAAAAACATGAGTCCTACAAATTTTAACCCTCACAATCCTAAAACATAAAATAACATACAATAAAACTTAAGGCTAAACTACATAAAGGACCACCCAACTATGGGCTTAGTCTCGAAATGACCATCATTTTCAAATTTACATAAATATGACCACTGAACTATTTAAATGGTGCTGGCACACTGCCTTGTTTTCTTTCATTTTGGTCACTACATGTATATGATTTATTTCCTTGGATTTTCATTTAATGCAATTTGATCATGATTCTGTTTTTAATTTATCTAATGCCTTAATTTGAGCACTAAATTTAGAATCTTTTATTCTAGCCATGTATTAAATTTATAGATTAAATACCCTAGATTTTAGAATTAATCAATTTGATCATAAGATTAACTTTAATTTTTAATTAGGTCCTAGTTTCAATTTAAATCAATAAATTTATTTCTCCAATCAAATTGTGACACATCACAATCTGATTAGAGGGTTTTTTTAATTTTAATTTTATAAAAAAATAAATTTAATCAAAAGGTGACACGTGTCACCTTTTGAATTGAAGTGAAAATAAATGAAGATGAGTTTCGACACCAAAAGGAATCCAACTTGGGTCCCAAGGGTAACTTGTGCATGCCTTAACCACTTAGTTAATTCTCACGCTTGTTATTGAGATAAATTGAAATTAGGACCTAATTAAAAATTAAGAATTAATGTTAATCTTGGTGATCAAATTGATTAATTCTAAAATATAGAGGATTTAATCTATAAATTTAATACATGACTAGAATAAAAGACTTTAAAGTAAATGCTCAAATTATGGCATTTGACAAATTAAAAACAAAATAGGATCAAATTGCATTAAATGAAAATCCAAGGAAACAAATCATATACAAGTAGTGACCAAAATGGAAGAAAACAAAGCAAGGTTCCAGCACCACGAATATGTAACTTTACAAGGACTCGAGCCCTAATTATACCAATTTTGTTAACTGCCACGTAAACACCTCCGTTAAATAATAACGACATGTGACTATATTAAAACCATTTAAATAGCAATCGTCATATTGATAAATTTAAAAATGGTGGTCATTTCAAAACCAAGCCTTGAGTGGTCATTTATGTAGTTCACCCAAAACTTTCCATTTTTTTAAAATTAAAGGAAAAATAGACTACACGTCAAACATTGAATAGTTGAGTAATATTTAACAGAATTTTAACCACCGTGACGAAACAAACACTTGAAAAACGTTAGACGTCTACATTTACACATGTTAACGCAATCTATACGATTAGTAGGAATAATTTCAAATATTGCTTTAACCCATGTTAACACAATCCATGGCAGAAGATAACATAGTGTAAGCCTTAACCCACCAGTCAATAAAGGAAGGAAAATAAGAGTCCATATAAAAACCTTTTCTCACTCTAAATCCGAGATTCTTGGCATTACGAAAAGTAACTGTTTCTGTATACAATATCTAAATATAGTATATGTCATTCAACCCTAACGAGTATGGATGGTACAAGTTGTATTAGAGATCAGAATGTTACCCTGTTCATAGAGACATATCAGGGCTATTATAGTTCAAAACACAAATGCTTTTCATAGCATGAGATGGGCCTACCAGAATTTATACTTAATGCCAGAAAAATCTAGGAGCGCCATGACAACACACCAAGTTAAAGAATAGGAAACCAGGATCAAAACAGCCGATGATGATGACACAAATATGGTATCCACAGATAAGTTTACCAGCCCCGTCAGCAGATTTGCCTGCATTAAATCATAAATAAAGAAACACAACCTGTTTACTTATTTCTAACATGAGATGATGGTCGAGGAAAACATAAAATTCCTCGAGTCACATACATGAATGAATGAATGAAGAAAGAGGGATGGTCACTTTACCACAAGAAAAGATGCCAATAAATTGCGGTCGAATGCTCTTTCGAGAGCTAAAACTTTGCTCCCAACGATGTTATCGGCGAGAAGTCGTATTGCTAATAGCTGAAACAATGGGTAAGCCTTTCGTTATCCATGCACCGAATGTAACAGTAGCTGATAAAACTATACACATCCATCACTGTTCGAAAGGATCAGGACATAGTTCTTTTATGTATATTTGCAAAGCTTTGAATAAAATCGTGAAAACACCAACATGCATTTCGGTTATCTTTTCTTAAGTAATTGCATCTATGTTCACCAATTATACCAAAAACTTATGCCTATCAATGGCATGGTTGATGCTTGATTTTCTATTCCTAAGTCGAAACAAAAAAAGATCCCTCTGTCTCACCATATTGCCACCATTTCTGCACAAGACACTGATTTACAAATGTCAAACTGAGTTTCATATCTTCAAAATATATCTTAAACAAAAAGGAAACTTACTCAAAGAATGCCCTCCATCTTTCACTCAGCATAGTAATCAACATGCATGTATAATCATAGAATCATCATCATCCAAGCCTCTTTTTGAACATTAAAAAAGATATACAGTGGTATATTTTGAGATTCCATGTTGGCTGAAAATAGATATTAAAACTAAGGCCCAGATGGTTCAATATGTGCCCAACCAATCAATCGCAATATAGAGAGGAGATATCAATAATAAGAAAATGAGAAACATGGTAATTCTGCCAATGATCTAGACCTGATCTTTTATGTTTTAGGAAAAGGAATGTTTTACATTGATAGCTTCTAAATTTAATGAAAAATACCAAAAGGATGATGAACATTGACATTTGATTCTTTCCGTATTTAAGGGAGGAAATAAGAATAACCTGTAGATTTTGAGCCACCACCCAAGTTACATAAGCCAGGTTGCACTGCAGAAATTGTATAGAACGGTTAATCATGATTATCAATTCCAAGATGGTTTTACAAATTAGTAAATACATGATGAGTATGTCCTACCATTCTACGTGAAATTCTTTCAACATGCCTGTCTATAAGCAATGTTAGAATCCTGTAACAAACAGATGTAACAAAAATTAGCTCATTTTCCATGCAATCAATTTATTGAATCAACACAATCAGTTTTGGTAACAAAAATCATGTGAGAGTTATATATACCAAAACACAATAGTAAGAAGGCAGACTCTGAATCGAGTTTCATGCTTGCTTCTCTGCTTGGTTGGGCGGTTTTCAAAGAAGAGGTAGTAACTCACCTGAACACCAATAAGATACATACCCCAGTATCCTGGGTATGATAACAAGTAATCACTTGACGAAATCTTATATCAGATGACATGATGAGGAGAATTACTAATGAAAAGGGAATGCATAGACTGCAGCCCCATTTTGTTTTATATTTTATGAAAAAGAACAATAGCCTATTATTATGTGGAAAGTGGAAACAAATCAAGAAGACAGATCAATGAAAGAACAGGTACTTAAATTTAATCAAGAAATCATTCTCTCTTTTTTTTTAAAAAAAAATAATTTGCAATTTCCTTCAAACCAATACAAGCTGTTTTTTAGCTAGGTGAGACTTAGATCAAAGATTAACATCAAAATGTCAAGAATACAGTTTGATTTTTGCTCAGGAATTGGGATCGTAAGAACCTTACAAACGACGACACAAGAAAAAAAGCTGTAGGTGCAACAAAAATTATGATGACACATGTGCAGTGGCGGATCCAGAAAATATTTGAGGGTGGGGCTGTGGGCAGTAGGCACACATATGTTAATAAAACAATTTTTGAATGGAGTGGGCACAAATAAAATTTCAGGGTGGGCACCATCACTAAAATAGGTATCTAACCGAAGAAAATTCGGATTTCAATGTGAGCACATTCACGCCCTCTTGTTAACGTGGATCCCCCACTGTGCATATATACCAATAGTACATTAGGTAGAGTACAGAAATTTCCTTACCAAATAAGCTAAAAATCCCCTCCTTGTTTCTGCTTATGATATCCTTACCCCTTTCATTAGAAAGAAGATAAACATTTAGCCCATTATTCAACCAACTTTGGTACCCTGAGAGTTAGAAAGTCAACTTATTGTACAAGAAGAACCAAATGGAAAATGCCAACATATAGAAACAAACTTCATAAATAGGAAGGTATACCAACTAAAATTGCTGAACCGAGAATTCCAGAATATTTTGCAGGAACATTTAAAATAGATGTGAGAATAGATACACCAGCGAGTGTGAAAAAGAAATTCCAGTTCACACCGTATTCCCCCACATGTACCTGTAAGGAAGAAATGGAATTAAACAAAAAAGGTATTGATTATCAATCACCACCGGGTGAAAAGTTGAACAATCAAAATTGAGAAGAGCATCATGCACTCAAACCAGTTTGTATAAATAGTGAGTATTCAAATGATTCTCTCGGTAAATACAGAGGGATTTCTGGTTAAGAATACAAACAGGTTTGGAGCATTATTTTACACATCTCCCAGAATTTCATTAGTTTTATGTTAGTGAGCAGACACGGTAAACAACTTATCCTATGCCATTGCAAAAAACTATTATTATTTATTACAAAATGTCTGGTGCGAAGAAATATATTCTACCTGATAGTCGAGACTCAATGTAGAAACAAGTCTAACAAACCCTAACAATAGTAGAGGAATTGTAGATCTAAAAGCTTCCTTCCACCGACTCCTTCAAAAGCATTCAGAAAAATTATCGGAACATAGATATGAAAAAGTATATATGTATGTACTGCATACACAAAAGAAAATTGTGATGCTACAATTATAACATATGCTCACACTAAAATGAATTTACAATGATAAGCATTATACCAGACAAGTTAACACCAGCATCCGGAAAACAATGACTCACATAGGTGATGAGATGTTTCGTGCTTGCCGCGAAGTAACTGCATTCATTAGCACAAAGGAGCCAACTCCAAGGTCCATCTGACAAAATTGTTCGAAAGTTAAAAAATATCAATAAAATAAAATAATTGGGATTGTTATTTGCTAGGATAGAAACATAAGTTTACTAAAATTACAAACAAGTTCAATAAGTTTTGAGGTATTGGTAGGACAATTTCAGAAGTTCTCAAAGTGAAAGATAGACATCCACTTTTCACATGTAATAGTCTTTATCAAAGAATGTAGATACCCCCTTTGAACTTCTCAAAGTGATTGAATATAGACACTCATTCTGAAGACAATGATAAAAAAAATGTCATGTTCAAGGATACGGGATTAAATGTTCACATGGGTTTTACCATAAAAAACAGTAAAATTATCTACTTCAAGCTAAATTAATAAACTAAGAAATAATATGCATCAAGATAGAAAGAACAAAAAAGGAACTTGATAATATCTTACCAAGCCAGTCCCGTAAGTCTCTGTCTTAGCAAATTCTCTAGGATATATTCTGAAATCAACAGCCAATATACACAAGCATGTGATAAACATCTGCAAAAGTTTTCCCACAAAATGTATTACAATTTTATTTAAAAATCTGTACCAACAGCCATGATACACAAGAATGTGAGTTGTGACAATAATATTCCCACTGAAACCTTTATCACAAATTAGAGAAGGTACATGAAGCAAAGATATTTATTCCAAAAGAAACCAAATTGCATGATATGCAAGCAGGTAAAACATTATACCGTAACAACCCTATAAGATGATATGCTTGCTCTAGCTGCATTAGGTCCTTCCGTGTAAGGCAAACAGTAAGTTCTGCATTACAAGGTTTTGAGTTAATGTACTTTTACATCAAAAACAGTTGTCTTTAAAATAATGATAGAAGAAATAACATGTATAAGCAACTAATTCAAGTTCTACCTTTTGACTGCAGTACAGAAGATCGTCAATAAGAATAACCCAATCGTGCATTCATATAACCACTCTGCTAGAACCTATAATACCAATAACTCTTTTTATAAAAAAAAAAAAAAGAGTCGAATTTGGGGGGATTCTAACGAAATCTTTAGTGTGGTAACTGAGAGTACTTACAGTGAAAACTAAAAGCGTGGGTAGTACAATGAAGACATATTCCAAAGCTAATGAGGCTAGGTAAGACTTTAAACTCCTACTAGCATCTGTTCAAACAGATTCAATAATAAACACTAATGAATTCTACACCGGCATATAAAATAAGAAATTATAATAAGAATCGATAACCTTACCGTTGACTGCTTTAGAGCAGAAAGTGTACCGCAAAAGCATTAGAAGCTGAAAAAAGGGGTGCATTAGAGAGATAAAGATGTTTAAAGGAATTGAAGTGTTAAAAGACCTTACAGCAACATTGTTCAACAGGGCGGAGACTTGAAGCATGGAAGATCCAGGCAAATTGCTCACGAATCTGCAGATTATGATGGTTTCAAACAATGAGATTCGGTATTATATGATTTAAGAAAAATGGGAAATGGAGAAAGATTAGGTAACTGTTCTCTGAGGTGCTTGTTGGGATTGAAAGATCTGGGCAAAGAATCCATTGAAGAAGAGCTCCAAAGTTGAAAAAAGAAAAAACTTTATTTAGGATATAGGATCAGAGCAAGGAGGAGTTCGAAACAAAATGGATTTTTCTTTGGAAAGGGGATGGTCTGAGAGGAAGGTCAACGTGGATTCCAGGGTGTCAAATCAATTAGCCACGTCAGACAACTGAAATCTAGGTAATAATTCGCAAATTTTATCGGAATTCAAATGTGCATTAATTTCAGGCGATTTTCCCCCAAAATCACCCTTTAAAACTTTATTTTCCTATCAGACATCCTTTCATCTTTATTTCTCGATCTAACACCTTTTGCAGGAAGGTGCGGTCCATGTACCACGCCTTATGCAGACATGACGACACGCTAGGTAAGGCGCGGTGCATGGGCCGCGCCTTCTGACACGTAGGTGTATAGTGCGGTGCATGGGACGCGTCTTCCTGCAATTATGACAGGCCTTAGAATAACGCAGTACATGGGTTACGCCTTGTATAATTGCATCCGCACTTCTCGGGTTTAAAGAGTCTCCTCTCAGCTATAAATACTCCTCTCCCCGTAAACTCTCTCACAACTTCCTCTCAACCGAAAAACTAATACAATAATCCCCTCAACCAGTAAATAACACCCGACAATCCTCTTATATTTGATTCAGAAGTTCGTTCGATCTTTCGTTATAAGGTAATTTTTTATAATATTGTTTTATAATTATATATGATTATTTGAAGAAAAAAAATATTGTACTAATTGTTTTCAATTAATTTTTGTGGTTGTAAACCTGGAAAGCATGAGCATACGTCAAAATATTTTTACTGATACGGTAATAATATAAAATTATATTATTTAAATTATTTACGTTTATGTGTAAAAATTTTATTATGTTATATTTTAATTCATATATTATTTATTTAATTAGGCTTGTTTCAGGTTTTTTTTTGTGAAGATATAAGATTGTCTCACTTTCAAACTCTAAGAATGACGCGAATTTCAGTTATTGTTTATTATGATGGAGAAATTCGGGAAGATGAAAACGGTGTTGTTTTCGTATCAAATCATTATGTTAAAATATCCTTCAAGAGAAATATAACTCTTGAGGAGCTGATAACGAAGATTTCAAGGAAGATTCATGTTGGAAGTACTAGAAGAATGTTGTCGCTTCAGTATATATTTCCAACATCATTGTTGTCATTAACTTATACAGCATTCAAACTATCGAACAATGATGATGTTGAAATGATGGTTGATTCTCAAAATAATTATTCAAACGCCGATACAAAGATGTATGCAAAGTTTGTTGAAGTACGTGTTGTTTTGGGTCTGTCATTAAGCTCTCACTATGGGCTAGCTGAACAAACTGATCAAGTTGACAGCCCGACTACAGTAATGTGTAATGATTTTAATGCCATAATGGGAAACCCACATCATGGTGTCATTTCATCAACTTCAATAGGGAGACATTCATCATCAACTTCTTACGATCTGTACCGATGTGGGTCCATGAACAATCCGTATGGAAATATCGCGTCCAGTTCAAGGGGAAGGCATTCATCTGCCAATTTCTTTGACCTTAATATGGAGATGCCCTGGACGCAACAATCTGTGCAGTTTCCATTTGACACGATGGCTTCAAGCTCCAGGAGGAGGCATTTGATTGCGAGTTTTTCAATCTCAATGTCGATATACCTTCTAGTTCAAGGGGAATGCATGCAAGTAGTAGGTTCTTCGACCTAAATGTGGAGAGCATGGAGGAACCATCATCTCCACCAGAAGAACTGATTCGTGAGCCATGTGTGGATTGTGCTGAGACTGGACTATTCATTCACCCAGAATCACCGCAATTCAACTCCGATGATGATGATGTAGATAAAGTTCCCTCAAATGTGGCACAAACTGAACCTCCAGCACACATGTGTGAAGTTGACTATGGTGCAATGTACGGGTCAGAATTTGCGGGTATACCTCATCTCGGTGACTATGGATTTTACTCATCAATAAATAATGGTGAGTTATCTTTAGTCATGGAGTTTCAAGTAAAGAAGAAGCGATGATGGCTATAAAAAATTCCAATATCCGTAATTTTGTTCAATCCAGAGTCGACCGCTCTACGACAAAAAATATGTATGCCACTGTGCCCGACGTGAAAACAGATACAATTGGATGGTTCGCGTATCGAAGAGGAAGAGGAAAAACAATATATGAGAACTAACGGTATACAACGGTCCTCACACATGTTGTGCTGGAGGGATCAACAAAGATCATCCCAACTTGGACTCTGAAGAAATCTGTCAAGCCATCATGCCCATGGTAAAAGAAAGCTCTCATATAGCTATTGATGTGTTGATTTTAACTATAAAATCACAGTATGAGTGTTCCACCTCATACAAAAAAGCATGGAAAGCAAAGCAAAATGTCATTAAAAAACTTCACGGCGAATGGGATGCATCGTACAACAAACTTCCAAGTTGGTTTAGGGTGGTGCGGAGGTTGAATCCTGGGATAATTGCGGACTTCGAAACCTTCCATGCATATCATAATGATCGAGTTCTTCACGATCGATGCCAATTCTACCAGGTTTTTTGGACTTACACACGGTGCATTAATGTTTTCAAATACTGCAAGCCTGTGGTCCAGATCGACGGGACTTTCTTGTATGGAAAATACAAGCAACTTTTACTATTGGCAGTTGTCCAAGATGGTAATCGCAACATTCTTCCAGTTGGTTTTGCTATTGTTGAAGGAGAAGATAAATATTCTTGGGCTTTTTTCCTTCGAACTTACGTTCACATGTTATCACGAGGGAAAAATCTATGTCATTTCAGATCGCAGAGCTGAGATCAAAGTAGCAATGGAGTCTTTGGGTCCAATATGGCAACCACCCTTTGTCCAACATAGGTATTGTATCCAACACATTGCTGTGAGCTACCATGGAAGGTTCAAGAAGAATGATGAGCGCCAATTACTTGTGCGCATAGGTAAGTGAAACTGTTGTAGTTTTTTCACTTTCGCTCATTTTCATTTTTTAAAGAAACAAAGTTAGTAAGTTCTACATTTTATGCTCAGGTTACGAACTACTACCTCAAACATTTGAATTCATGCTTCAAGATTTGCGGGCGAAGAACGAGGAAGGATACGATTACATCAGCCTCATCAATAAAGAAATGTAGACAAACGCATATGATGGTGGATATCGATATTGACACATGACGACCAACTTGGCTGAGGCAATCAATTCGACCTTAAAGGGTGCACGTCACTTACCTGTAGCGGCTTTGGTAAAAACTACATATTTTTGTTTGGGGGCATTTTTTATGAAGCTTGGGGGATAAGCTCAAACATGGATACAAGGCGGTCATGTCTATCACCCTAGATTAGTTACAGGTCTACAAAAAAAATTGTTGCATCAAATGGAATGTTTATAACAAGCTTCTCTAAAATGAATGAATTGTTTCGTTTCAATGAGTTGCTACGACCTCTTCAAGGGATTGAAGTTGTGTCTTTAAGAGTAAATCTACGGGACAAATGGTGCGACTGCGGGTTTTTTCAAGCTCTAAAGTATCCATGCTCTCATGTGATAGCATCTTGCTCACATACCCTTCAAGATTATACTCGTTTTGTGGATCCCGTATACCTAATATCATAAGTGTTTAAGGTATACGAATTTGAGTTCCCCCTATAGGTAATGACAAAGACCCTAATGAGGTTCAGAATTGGGATCCAATTGTACTAGATTCATCCAAAATACATTCAAATTCATTGTGATATGGATATTTGAGAAACATCTAGACACGACAAAAAATGTGGGCATTGTAGAAACTCATGACACACTAGAATAACATATTCACTTCTTTTTTTCATCAAGTAACCATTGATGAGGAACTGATGTAGTTGTTGTTTATCAAATAATAATTCTTGTAGTTTAATTTATATTTACTTAAAGTTAATGTCATTTGATAACCACTGACGACGATTAAAAAAACAATACAAGAAAATGGGATACGACGTTGGCGTTATATGTGATTATAATAAAAGAGATAATAATGAACACAATTATTAAATTTTATCCAACTAATAGCAATTTGGTAATTGAATATAATTTTAAATACAACAAACTTACAATAAGTATTAAATGCTAAATAAAAAAATTAAAATAACTGGTATTAAATGGTAATAAAAAAAATTAACAAAATAAATTAACAAAAAGTCCAACCAAATTAACAAAATAAATTAAGTATTAAATGATAAATAATAAAAAAAATTACAATAAAGAAAGTGCAATAAACAAGTAAATACACATATAATAAAATATCAAAAACTATCGATGTCTGTGGTGCGAATGTGTTCCGCAGAGCTGTGGCTGTCTGTCTCGAGGAGGATTTTTCGTATAACCGGTTATGACTCCTCACTGTCATCATCATCACCATCATCATTATCATCATCTTCGTCGTCGTCATCAGGAGCAAATACATTTTTGTTGATGAGGAACTGATGACAATGTAGCACCTCTATAGAATAAGGACCCTGGAGGTGTATGACTGACTAAACCACCGCTCATAGAAAACTGGGAAAACTCAAAAAACACAGACATCGCTGAATGAGAAAATTGTACAGGAGGTGTCTATGCGTCGACCATCGGTGATGAGGTTGTACCCGCCAAATAACCAACATATGAACTCCAAGTCGGATCTGCAAACATAGACCTATAATATCCTCCATGAGGGGTCATATAACTCTGTGACGGTAGCGGCGGCGACATCTGGTAAGGGAAAGGTGGTGGCGGCATCAGATATAGTTGCGGGGTGTATGTCATTGCAGACAGTGGTTGCTGTGAAGGTTTTGGTGGTGCAACTAACGACGAACCGGAAGCATATGCTCTCCGTTCACGAGTCGAGTGACGATGGGGTTGTGACAGTGCACGTCTCTGTCGACATCGATGAATGCTCCATCCTCGTGCATCCTCAAAAAAGCATAAACAATTTCCTATTACTGTTGAACCACTCATAATAACCATCTGCAACCGTCAAGTTGTCAACATAAATGGGTTCCTTATGGGAAAGACGCCAATGTCGATCCTCTCATTTAATGACCCACTCATAATGCTTCACCAACCAATCTGTGTTATGCAACTGGTTCATATTGCGAGGTGCTTCCAGAATTGGTCGTACAAAACCAAATTTTTGGAGCACGCGATCAGTGGGGTGCTACTCGATAATCGCATAACAGATAAGAGGGACCACCGCCATCCAAAAATCTAATGGACCCCTCAACTCAAGTGGGATGTAATTCTTATCAAAATAATAATCTAATAATTATACTATAGTACAAAATCGATTTTCAAACATTAAAATACATACCTCGGTGCCAGCCTTCTGATCGATTAGTAGCCTGATTATTTCTAATTCATCATGCAGATCCCGATGATTTTTCCTGTCAATAGACCACCTATTCAAGGAAATAATTTTTATTATACACTGGATAAAATGATTAATATACGAAATCAGTTTTTTAATTACCTCAATAGTAGCGGAAATACGAACGGGTTCTTCACAACAATACATAAAAAGGGCAAGTGATACCATGCCCAAGACTGCAGCAGAAGGAGACATCCACCAATAGCATTTTTCCTGTAGTCAATCGCTCAACACATCTCCCTATACAGGAATGCCAAAACTGTCGAGCCCCAACTCATTGATCCGGCCAGATGAAAATCGCTAAGATGCCACAATCACATACAGTGAACTTGGTTGCGCGATTTGTCCGGCATCATCAACCCTCCTATCAGCTGCAGTATGCATGCCCATGCATACATTTTAACTTGATCCTGTAAGGCGTCCTCACTCAAATTCTGAAAATTTGCATCTAACCAATTTAACGGTATCCGACCACCATTAACATTTCACGAGACACCTTATAGATAATCCCGACACAAAGTAGTCCAGTTACCGTGTGCCATCCCTAAAATCAAATCTCCATCCACCGGAAGCCCCAAGTGCATGGAAACATCCTTAAGCGTACTCGTACACTCTCCGCACGGAAGATGGAATGCGTGAGTCTCCGACCTCTACCGCTCCACTAATGCAGAAATCAGGTTTGGTTCTATCCTACAATGGCCTTCATATCTAGCTATGTGGCCGAATCTAGCCTCGACTAAATACAACCAGACACGGGTAGGTATCACTAACTTACTGTTCCTGATAAAAGGATCTAATATACGGTCGCTCTCCTAAAATATTAATAATTACAAAAATTAATTTATAAACTAATAATCATGTATTAAATAAATAAATTATTACTAATAATTTAAATTAAATTAAAATGTAAAAATATTACCGTATCAGCAAAATGTCGAGATATATGATTTCCATCCAACGAGGCAGATCGCCTTCCATTTTATAACTGCAAAAAAAATAATTAATTAAAAATATTAAAATAGTTAAATAGTTAAATAAAATACTAACAAATTATTAAATATAATAAAATATACCTTAAAAAACTATGAGATAATTTAAGAGTATTTGAGAGAAGTTGAGAGGATTTGGTGTGATGAAAATGGTTGAGGAATTATGTATTTATAGGGTGGGATGGGAGTGTGAATGAGCGGGTGGTTGCCGAAATTAAAGCGAAGGCGCGATCCATGCACCGTGCCTTCCTGAAGCGTGTCAGAATTAAAGCAAAGACGTGGCCCATGCATCGCACTATACACTTACTTGGCAGAAGGTGTGGCCCATTCACTGCGCCTTACCCAACGTGTCGCCATGTCGACATAAGGCGCGGTGCATGGGTCGCGCCTTACCTCGCGTGGCGTTACATCAGCGTAAGGCGTGGTGCATGGGTCGCGCCTTCCTGTAAATGGTGTTAGATCAGAAAATAAAGATGAAATGATGTCTGACAGGGAAATAAAATTTGAAAGGGTGATTTTTGGGGAAAATCGTGAGGGTTTTTAAAAAATTAAAATAAAATATTTTGTTTAGTAATATAATAAATAAGATATATTATATTTTGAATTCCTCACATTTTACTTATTATCCATTCGATCCATAAATATCTAAACAGCTAATCATATTTTTTGTTATGTAAAGTGTTCATTGTTATGTAACATAAAAATATTATGTAACATCTTTAAATTGAAAACAAAATAATTTAATTACAATTTAGGGTTTATAACATGGTTAAGTGAGGGATTTGGATTTAAAATATTTACCGTTAAATATGTATAAAGTTTTAGTCCTTAAAAGTTTTAAGGTAACCTGAAAATGAATTTATTTTACTTTTACATTTTATAAAATAAAGTTAAATTTAAATAATTGAATTTTATATATAATAATATAATTATAATGCAATATGTAATATAAAATTAAAAATTAAAATAGATAAAATTTTAAAAAATGTTAAATAATTATACTTCTATTTATTTCAATTGTGGTTTATAGTTTTTTTAAACAAAATGTTAGCGTTTTTTCAAGTTTGACGGTTTGTTATTTTATATTTTAGGTATCATACAAAATATGATGTTGAAATATAATTAAAAAAATCATAAATTTTATTTTTCAGAAAATACTCTAAAATTCATAAAATTTTAAAATATCTCTTTGATTTCGTCGTTGGCCATCATAACCACCGGTGATCATCCACTCACATGGTGACCACTTACACACTAATTAAAATAGTTATGTTCCTTGGTATCTAGGATACGTTTGGTTCACGAAATGTAAGATTATCAGTGGGAATAAAAGATTATCAGGTAATAGGATTACTGGGAATGTTGTATTTTGTGTTTGGTTGGTTTAGTATGAATGTAAGATTACCGTGTTTGGTTAAAGGAATAAAATATTATTAGAATGCATATTTGACCAAATTGTCCTTATTATATATTTGTTTTTTTAACAAGTTGAAAAATATTTATATATTTTCTTTAAAAAATTTAAATTCATAAAATTTATATAATTTTTTTTACAAAATTGAAAATATAAAAAGGTTTAATGAAAGGGTAAAATTTTATTTTAACCTTTGAAATTCATATAAAATTTTAATTAGACATTTTGTAAATATAAAATAGTTTAAGGATAAATTTGTAATTTAACCTTCGTAGAATTTTTATTATTCAGAATATTTTTGAAAAAATATTTAAGGGCATTTTTGTCCAAAACGCCGGTAATCCAACAATACCTAAGGGAAGGGGATAATGAAATTCCCGGTAATATACCTCAAAAAATCCACTATTGGTAATAAAACATTACCGGGAATGACATTCCCGGCTAACCAAACGGGGAATGTTGATTACATTTCCACGAGAATCCCACATTCCCCCAACCAAACACCCGCTTAGAGTTTTGAAGATTGAGTGATAACTGACGAGGAATGAATATACGACCGATGAGTGTGATTGATGTTCTAAGATTAAAGATTTTAAGATTTTTTTTTTGAGATTTTAGAGAATTTTTTTTTCAAAAATAAATAATAATTTAAAGTTTTTAAACAAATTTCAAAAACTTATAAACGTGCTACTTGTCCCATTTTGAGTGGTAGACTGATATTTAAAGGATTTTGTTAATGTTTGTGACCTACTTAAAATGGTAACATCAAAAATGTTATGCACCTACTTTGATCAAAAAAAAATATAGACACCTAAACGAAAAATAAGTATAATTTCAACACTTAAATTTAAGAAGTTCCATTACAAGAGTAGTAATGGGTTTTAGAATGGTGGGGGCTTAATAAACACGTGGCTTTTATTTTTTAATTATCAAGTCAGACTTTTATTATTAGAGTAATAAGAGTTAACAATTGAGGGACCCAATATATTAAATTGATAAAATAAGGAATTAAAACCATTTTTTTTATTTAGTGATAAAATCAAGCTGACCAAAAACACAAGGGAAGAAGCAAAAATATGATATATCTTTCATTTTCTGAATAGGTGGAAGCGTGATGACTTTTAATGCAGACCATAATTGTTAGTGGGATTTGTGAACCGTCAGATTAGATATACAAGAAAGCATAAGATTCCAATTAACTCGAGGAGGGAAACAATAGCTTAAAGGAATACCTTTCCTTATATAATCATAAATATGAAATAATTTCCATTCAGTGAAAATAAAAGGTAAATTATATGAAGATCTATTTAGGATACGAACAAAAGAAATAATATACATTTACAAATTACTTGTCCGGGGGAGGGGATAAAACTTTCTTACTGATTTGTACACTGCACTCAGAAGGATGCAGAAATGAGATCTAAGACTTCGATTTCCTTCTGTTCCGTGTCTTCATCCCGGATTCATCGGCTGTTTTCTCACTTAACTTCAATCGTAGCGGCCAATCCATCAACTCCTGCAAAATGTATGACAATGCCAGATTGATGAACAAAGCATTCATCAACAAATGAAAATACTTGACAAAGTGAAGGAACAATTCACAACACATTGCTGCCTACAGATAAGTTTTTGCAAACATAAACGAAAATTGTTACATATATCGGGAGGAACATCAAATTTATGTCCTAGACAATCTCGTGATACGAATGAGTTCTAGTTGAGAATCACCTTCAAATGCATCGACTCCGATGTAGTCTGTCTAGTAACCGTATTAACCGACAGTTATGATCTATGGATAGTGCTCTCTTAACAACGAACATGAAAACATGTAAAAATACATAATGCATTTGATTACCTTTCCATCGAGAGTAGAAATTGCAGCCTCAGTTTCCTTCTTTGTGGCAAATGAAACAAAGCCATAACCTGGGTTGAAGGCCAAGAAAAATTCTTTCAGATGATTCGCCCTGACTTTCCGATTAAGGTTCGACAAGTAAAGCTTATGGCGCGGCTCACAGGCAGGAACGATCAGCTGAGTAGAAGCCGGTGAAGGTCTCTTGAATCTCCTTGCAAACTCTACCCTTACAATTATCCCGGACACTTCCTTCACGAGAAATCGTACTCCAATATGCAAAAGAGGTACATTCATACAATGGAAAGCAATTCTCTTATTTAATTTTTGATGATAATGTCTTGTCTTCTTTCTTTAATTAATTTCGTCTAACGTAACAATTAAAATGTGTTAAAAATTTGAGAGCAGAAAAATTAACAAAAACGATAACAATGTAAAATAAAACATGCACAAGAGATGAAGATTTAACATGATTTGGCTTTGGTCACCTCCACAGACAAGAAGAACAACAATCACTATAAATGTAGAGGTCACGAAGGGTACAATACAACATCACATGTATCCTAAAATTCGATATCTATACCAAAACTTGAAATATCTGAAATCACTCTTCAATATCCTTACAAATCTTATCCATGCAATATAAACCCAAAAAATATCCCAAATCAATCTCCACTTTAAAAGCTAAGACATTCTCTATTTACAAAATTTAACTTAATTATCAATTATAATTCGGATAAAAATATAACAAAGTGTGAATACAAAATTTATATTTACCCAGGTAAATGAAAAATCAAGTTGATTAGCATTGTACACATAATAAAGAAAATAAAATTTGAATACAAAAAAGAAAAGAAATCCCTACATGAGAGTCGAGATTATCTACCGAAGCCTGATCTTCCTCACCAGAAGCCATTGTCACAAACGAAAAGCCCCTACTTTTCCCATCTTTCTCCTTAATAATCTGAAAACAATCCACATAGCAAAAATCACCTATATCATAAATCATCGCTCTTATTTAAATAAAAAGGAAGAAAACACAAGTATTTTTATATATAAAGAGAAGGAACCTCAACATCTTTAACGTTCCCACATTGGGAAAAGAGGTCTTTGATATCAGCAACCGTATAATCCCGTGGCAAATTCAACACAAAAAAAGCTTTCTTTTCACATTTGATTTCTGGGTTTTCTGTGTTGCAGCTTCTACGCTTAGTTCTTGCAAAGTGGAGCAGAGTTTAAAACCCAGATTCTTTTGGGTGCTGATTAATGGAGGGATGGAGAAATTTTGGGAGAAGAGAGGAGTAGATATGGATATTTGAAAAGTTAAGGAAGATAACCTTTGGGATTTTGGACTTAAGAAGGTCTTTAACGTTTTGGGAAAAGAGGTCTTTGATATCAGCAACCGTATACGCCCGAGGAAAATTCAACACAAAAAAAGCTTTCTTTTCACATTTGATTTCTGGGTTTTCTGTGTTGCAGCTTCTACGCTTAGTTCTTGCAAAGTGGAGCAGAGTTTAAAACCCAGATTCTTCTGGGTGCTGATTAATGGAGGGATGGAGAAATTTTGGGAGAAGAGAGGAGTAGATATGGATATTTGAAAAGTTAAGGAAGATAACCTTTGGGATTTTGGACTTAAGAAGGTCTTTAACGTTTTGGGAAAAGAGGTCTTTGATATCAGCAACCGTATACGCCCGAGGAAAATTCAACACAAAAAAGCTTTCTTTTCACATTTGATTTCTGGGTTTTCTGTGTTGCAGCTTCTACGCTTAGTTCTTGCAAAGTGGAGCAGAGTTTAAAACCCAGATTCTTCTGGGTGCTGATTAATGGAGGGATGGAGAAATTTTGGGAGAAGAGAGGAGTAGATATGGATATTTGAAAAGTTAAGGAAGATAACCTTTGGGATTTTGGACTTAAGAAGGTCTTTAACGTTTTGGGAAAAGAGGTCTTTGATATCAGCAACCGAATAAGCCCGGGGAAAATTCAACACAAAAAAAGCTTTCTTTTCACATTTGATTTCTGGGTTTTCTCTGTTGCAGCTTCTACGCTTAGTTCTTGCAAAGTGGAGCAGAGTTTAAAACCCAGATTCTTATGGGTGCTGATTAATGGAGGGATGGAGAAATTTTGGGAGAAGTGAGGGGTAGATATGGATATTTGAAAAGTTAAGGAAGATAACCTTTGGGATTTTGGACTTAAGAAGGTCTTTGGGGAAGAAGAAGAAAGGTGCCGTGGAAAGGAGAGTGCAGTTACAGCTTCAATGGCCGCCTCTTTCGTTTATAAATTTCGGGAAAGATTTCCAACTTTTCAAGCGGATAAGATATTTTATTCGTTAAACTACATCACTGGTCACTTTACTTTTGGTTTTAAATATAAATTATAAATATTTTATAAATTTAATATATTTTAATTGATATTATAAAAATATTCTTGTGATTTATAGTATTATAATTAATATATTTTATAAAAAATATACTTAATTTCAAGGTATTTTCACTCAAATATCATCCAATAAAGAATATTTTTTATTTCAATAATCATATACTATTATTTCAAAAATCATATATGATTATTTCTTGGATGCGCAAAAACATATTTTTTTTAAAAAAAACGCCTTCTAATGATATGGTATAAAACGCGTTTGGTAGGAAACGTCTTTTGTTGACCTCTAAAGAAATCACTCAAGTTGGGTTGAAATAAAAGAAAGAAATAAAAAGCAGGGTCAAAATATGGAAAATATATATTAAAAAAGAGTGTTTCACTTCTAAATGCATTCTTTAATGTGTATGATCAGTGGTGGAAGTATGATTTAATTTGAAGCATTGTTTGATAACAAATTGACGTTTGAATCACCGTGAGTTGTACATCAGTTTACCAAAGTGAATGACTGCGCATTCACTTGTGATGTACATCTTCAATGTTGGACGAGGACTGAAAGTCATATTCTAAAACCCTAGAGTAAGTGTTTATTTCTTTAGTTAATGTGTATTGATATTGATGATGCATTGAATTTATATGTCATTGGATGCATGAATGTTTAGCATGTGTATTGTTTTACTCTTTGATGCATAAGTGATTTAGAAAATTATTTTGAAAATTATGCGAGCATGTGTAATGTGAGATGAGTAGATATTCTCTACTATCCATGTATGAGTTAGTATTTCTTACTATTCAATTGAGGTTGACCATGGCAACTAAAGTATTAGGTCTTAAAAAGTAAATGCTTAACGTGTGTTTATTTCACGCGTAGGTAAAGACAAAGATTAGTGGAGTAAGGAGTGTAGCAGTAGCGTTCATCAATTAAGGTTGACCTGTCAGTAATGTTAGGACAATCTTATTTCTTTTGAACTTAGTTGTCATGTAATTAAACTATGGAAAATATTTTGGAATGTAATTAAGTAATAGTTTTAGTATGTTGCTTTCAAAAATATCATATTTTGTAGTTAATCAAATTGAAACAAAATTTTTATGGGTTTTAAAATGACAAATATTTTTTGAAGTGATGTGACAGCTGTATCTCGTATACGGAAGGGTATACAGGAGATGAGTGTTACATTGATGGTGAATGAAGAGGAAGAAGATGAAGAGAAGCAAAACAAGAAGAATAAGGTATACATTGCCTTCAAGTCCACCAATGAGTGTTATGAAGATTCAAGTGAAGTGGTGGATGAAGACGATGAAGAAGAAGAAGAGATGGCCAAGCTCTTCAAAAAGTTTGAGAGATTCATGTTTTCTAAGGAAGTGAAGCATGAATCAACCAAGACGATGTGCTTCAATTATCAAAGAAAGGGGCATGTCAAGTATGAATGTCCTCTCCTGAAGAAGAAGGGATCAAGCAATAAAAAGGCATTTGTGGCGGCTTGGAGTGATGAAGATGACTCCAATGATGACGATGAAGTAGCCAACCTATGCCTCATGGCCATCGAAGAAGATTCAATGGTATTTTCTAACTCAAATGATTTAAATTCACATACTTTTGATGAGTTACAAGATGCTTATAATGAGTTGTATTTGGAATTTGAAACCATGAATTCCAAATATAAGAAATTAATTTCAAAATTTAAAGTTGAAAATGATTTGATTTTGATAGTTAGAGTTAATTTTGAAAATCAAAATGAAATTTTGAAAAATGATTTAGAGCTTTCAAAAGTTAAAATCAATGATTTAGAAAAAGAAAATTTTGATTTGAAAGTTAAGCTTGAGAGCTTAACAAAAGAAAAAGAATTAATTTCTCAAAACAACTTATTATGTTTGAAAATGGCAAAATGCTCACATTGCCATTTTTATGGTCATTTGGAACATACTTGTCCCATAAAGAAAAAAATCTTTTAAAATTAGACAAGTATGGGTTCCTAAGAGAACAAGGGGCATTGAAACTAACGTCCAATGATGCAAAGCAATTTGGATACCAAAATCCAAATAAATGTCTCTTGTAGGTGTGTGGGAGCAATGGTAATGAAGATGAAGAAATCGAGATGCTCTAGTCACACATGAAAAGGAATGGGTAACCTCTAAGCTTAATGTTTTTATTTTTTTTGATTATTTGGTTGTTCATTTTGTTCAAGCATGCATGAGTTTTGATTTTAAATGATTATGCATTGTTTTTAATCTTATGTATGTTGAAAAATGCTTTATGATGAACATTTTAAAATTTTAATGATTTTTCATAATTTTTAGTTCATCATAATGAATTTTGGTCAAAATTGATTTTAATGCAAATGATATCGCTCTAACAATGGATATCAAACTTTTCAACTGATTTGATTTTACAAATTTTAAATTTTTGACCTAAATTTTAAATGTTTATGCATATGATTTAAATGTTAAAGATATCTCTGTAACAATCGATATCAAATTCTTCAAATGCATAACATTTTTGAAAGCTTTATGCATATGTACTTAATTTCAATTATTGGTATTGCATAAAGTATTTTAGTCTTGGATATTGAATTTCATGTGTTACTAACATTTTTGTTACTCTTTGTTGAAATTCAATTTTGTTTAAGTGTCAAGTTTTTAAAGTCAATTTTTGTTTGGAATACACTTTTTGAGGGGGAGCTTTGATTTTTAAAATGCTTTTAATGTTAAATTTACCACTTACTCTCCAAGGTTAGTTTTGAACTTTAAAATTGAATTTTTTTTTATCTAACAAAAAAGGGGAGAAGCATGGGTTTGAAAAATTCAATTTCTTAATGAAAAAGGGGGAGCTGAAAGTTTTCACATATTATTTCTTAATAAAAAAGGAGGAGCTGAACATTTTAACATATTTTCCAACAATTGATATCTTTTTCATTAAACATTCTATTAAGGGGGAGTTTTGCCAAAAACAATTTTTCAATGTTTTGTTATATCAAAAAGGGGGAGATTGTTGAAACTATATCTTGATATAACAATTTAAGGCAAAATGTTTTTGGACTTGGATTGAATTTATTCAAAGTTTTTCAAAGTTTTCAAAAATAATTCAAAGTCCTTAAAACTTGGAATTGAGCACAAAATGATTTCACGTACAATAAGTACCGACACTGTTCTTGCAATGTCAATACTGATACTACCAGCATTACTTAAATTCCAGAATGCAAAAATGGCACCGATACCCAAAGGGGTACCGATACTACTTTGTATAATAGTACTGATACCATTGCCATGGTATCGATACCATCAGGCCCCAATGGCTAGTAACGGTTGATTTAAATATAAACAAAGGTAGTACTGATACTCCCTTTAGGAGTACCGATACCCCTTGTTTTGGGCAGCTTTATTTTACACGAAAATTAATCCCCAACGACTCCAAATCACCTCCAACGACTAGAAACGTCCACAACAATATTTTAACACATAAATACAAGTTGAGGACACTTGAACAAGGGTTAGAACATCTGTCCAAGCAATCAAACACAAGAGAAGTGCTTTTCACTCTTTATTCCAATTCTCTTGTAAAAATTTTGTTCTTGTGAGCTTTTAATTTGTAAACACCTTCTTTTTTAGATGTTTTATTTGTTTACATTCTTTTTCCTTGTAAAGGGTTTTTGGTTCTATCTTACCCATTTCAAAAGATATGGAGTTGTAAAGGTTATCTCTTTGTCATTGAAAAAGAAAGAACAAATTAGTGAATTTGTTAGAAAATCCTTAGTGAGGAGCTAAGGTAGTGGATGTAGACTTGGTTGATAAAGTCGAACCACTTCAAATTCTTGTGCCAAAGTTTTCTATCTTTTGCTATCCTTACTCCCTAACT